GCTGAAACAGAAAGTCAAATAAGAAAACGATATTACTGGCCTAATATGAAGAAGGACATAGAAGATATCATAAACTTTTGCGATATATGTCAAGAAAATAAATACGACAGACTTCCTCCCAAACCGAAATTTATGGTTACACCAACTCCCACTAAACCACTGGAAATAGTTCACATCGATTTATTCCAGGCTGATGGACAGAAATTTTTAACCATAATAGACGCATTTTCAAAGTATGGACAAGCCTACCCAATAAATGGAGGAAATGCAATCAATGTACTCAACGCCCTATTAATTTTTATAACACATCATGGACTCCCAACAATGATAGTAGCTGATAATGGTACTGAATTTAAAAATGGAGTAATACAAGAATTTGTAGACTCTCACAAAATCTCAATCCACTATACGACACCAGAGAATCCGCAATCAAACGGGATGATTGAGAGATTTCATTCTACATTAATCGAACATCTTCGAATCTTAAGGAACACCAAAGCAAAACTCTCGATAAAAGAACAAATGCTATACGCTATAATTGGGTACAATAATTCCATACATTCAGCAACGAAGTTAAGACCCATTGACATATTAAACGGACATATCGACGCAAAAGATCCCTTTGACATTGACATACAAAAAGTAATACTGAACGATTATATCCAAAATCATAGAGAGATAACAAAGGAATTTTACAAGGATTTAAACCAGCATATACAGGAGAATAAAAATAAAGTCATAGAAAATAGAAACAAATCACGACAAGACCCTATTACATATAAACCCAGCACAAAAATCTATACACGAAAAACAGTTACCAGAAATAAATTACTTCCGCGATATTCCACAAAACATATAAAAAGGAATAACAAAGTGACTGTAAATACATCAAAAGCTACAGTTCACAAGAAAAACATAAAACACCAACCTAAGTCAAAAACTAATTCTGAACCTTCCCCACAAAATCACCCTGACGATGGGAGAGAAAGTGAAGATCAAGGACCTGAAAGATAACCCAGGAATAATTTCCCTCAACCTAGGACAAACAAAGATTCATACTAGTACACACGATTTTATACACTTTTTCAAACTACTACCAATAAAGGAAGAATTGGAACCCAGTACGACGCAGTGACCACAGCAATTCAAAATGGACTTAGCCATCCTTATTTTAGCAATTTACAAAATTTCCACCAAGCTCTTAGATATCAATGAAAATCAGCTCAAGAAAAATTCTCAGCGATTTACCCCTATAGCAGAATAAGAAGAGGGCTAATCAATGGACTAGGAAGCAGTATTTATCCTTCATTTTTCTGTCCTACATGACAATTTTTATTTATTATCATTTGTTTCCTATACCTACGGCAAATTCTACTACAATTATTTCTCCTGAGCTATATCTCATCAATCTTCCGCCCAGATGCGAATTCAAAACCCCAATCCAGAGTCACATAAATTCAAGGACAATTAACCCGAAATTATGGAACCATAGCCATAACCGTTTTTGGATTACTCCTTTATATATCTTTATTACAATAATCTGCCTCTAAATATGTTACAGGTATAAAACAAATAACAAAAACCCAACTCCAGCCACGAAGCTCCAGAAGAGGCCAACCCAACAGTTCTGTTCGTCCCTCACAAAACTTCTTCAGGGGATGGAGTAGTTACAGTACAATGACCGCTACCATCCAGTAAATTCTACCACGTGGATTCCACACGGGACTACCGCTCGATCATTCTGGACTGAATTGCGACGTATTGGACTGCAAGATCAGCAATTATAAAATTATAAAAACACCATGTAAAAATCAATATTTTCAGTCTGATTTGTAGTTTAGTCTGATTTAATTTATTGTTGTTGCTACTAAAATCTTTGTAAGTCGAAAATAAAAGTTTTATTTGTGAAGTTCAGTTTTTAAAAAAGTGTTTTTCCCAAGAACATTCATAATTAGCACAAGAGTGTCGACAAACTATGCTCACGATGAAAGCGTCAACATGACTCTCAATAAAATGGTCCCTATAATATCATCGAGTTGCCTGAACCCGACACCCATAAAAGAGATCTACATGGAAAGAAGCAAAAGAGAGATCGAAGACATCCAAATCCGTCCCTGAAGCACCTGCAACACACTGAATAAACCTATGGCAAGCACCAGCTACCACAACACATTTTGTTCCTTCAAAGGAAATGGCTGCTGCTCACAAGTTACCTTTTACACAACATGGAGAGTGCCACACAGACTAAGAACTGGCATCTCATGTTATGCTAGTAATCTAAGTGGGGATACCAGGAGATCAATATCTGTGACTGTGGACAGTTCAGAGTAGTCACCACCTACTAACATGCATAAACATTTATTACTTAAATGATAAGGCCATCTGGAAATATAGGATTTAAGTTGTTTGTTTTCCAAACAGTGAAAAGTAAGTAAGTAATTAGAGAGTATAAGAATAAAACACTGAAAGCTTTGTTTTCAAAACTTACACAAAATGTATTGTAATATCTTATCCTTACAGCTGTTTCGGTAGAGTGCCTTTCTCGAGTGATCTATTTTTGGTATGTGTTTATACTTTATGGTCTTAAAGACACATACCAAAAATAGATCACTTGAGAACAGCACTCACCGAAACAGCTGTAGTGATAATAAGACATTATAATTTTTTTGAAGTTTTGAAAACAAAGTTTACACTTAATTTATTTATTTATTTAATACGCGGGATAACCCCATTAACAGTTTAAATTACAATATACAATATCACAGTTAGGATTCAAAACTTGAAATTATATATAATATAAAATCAATATTAAAAAGTTTAAAAAAATAAGACTAAAAATCTTACATACTAAAAAAAAACAAAATATAACAAGAACAAAATTCAACAATCCCAATATACATATCACAAAGCAAGAGATCTTTTTAACTGAATATATTGAAAATATCAAAATCGCGATCATTTAATAGCCCAATGTATCTATCCAATGGGTTGTGAATACCATAGGTTGTTCTGTGGAAAGGAATATTGAAAACATTGTGGTACCGTAGAGCTTGATGGGGAACATTAAAGTTAATCTGGCTTAACAGGTTTGGACAATCAATAAATCCATGTATGATCTTATATATAAATATAGCTCCTGACATGTCACGTCAAGAGATCAAACTATGTGACGACTACAAATACCTAGGAGTAAAGATCACTCAGGACGGAAAATTAAATGCAGCCATTAAAGAATGAAATACACAGGGAAGGAAAGGCATAGCTTTACTGAACAGCGTACTGTGGGATAAAAACATCTCTAAGGAAAATAAAAGAAGAATATACAACACCATATGTTACGAATATTTATTATTTGTATAAAATGTATTTGGTTAATTTTTAGTTCTATCATGTTACCCAAAATTTCCCGTTGCTACTGTTCTATAAACTATGTCAAATATAATATCAAAACGTCAGACAACAAACTGTCACCGATTAGGGAAAAATTTAAATAATTAATAATTTAGCAGACAGCAAGAGAACAGTAAGTAATGGGAATTAATTAGTTTTTTTATATTGTTAATTTTATATATTGTAGGAATTTCAGTTGTTTTTACGCAAATAAAAACAGTAAACTACAAATCCGTCAATTGCTGGCTGTTCAATAAAGATAAATTCCCAACACCATAATAAAAAGCATCACAACATATGGATGCGAAGTGTGGCCCCTAAAAGACAGAACAGAGAAAATGCTTAGAGCAACAGAAATGGACTTCTGGCGCCGATCGGCGGGAATCTCTAGACGCGACAGAATAACAAATGAGAGAGTCCGAGAAATCATGGGGGTAAGCACAATATCTTAAAAATTTATGCTGGACTCTTTCTATGGTATCAATATTGTTCTGAAAATAGGGTGACCAAATAACTGAACAGTATTCCAAAATAGTTCTAACTAAGCAACAATACACTAATCTTGTTGAATTAATGGAGAAATACTTGCAATTCCTAGTAACGAAACCAAGAAGTTTAGATGCCTTTATTGAAATAGAGTTTATGTGGTCACAGGAAGTAAGCTTCTCATCGAAGATAACATCCAAATCCCGAATAGAAGAAACATAATTCAGGGGCTGATTATTAATAGTATAGCTTGTTCCAATTCTATTGACTTTACGAGAAAAACTTATAAAACATTTTTTTACATTTAAGTGGAGTTTGCTCTGATTGCACCAATTTTTTAGTCTGTCTAAGTCATATTGTAGCAAGGCTTGATCTTTTAAACTGTCTATAACTTTCCAAAATTTCAAGTCATCTGCCAACATTAGACATTTGCTATTTAGGAAACAGGAAGTGATGTCGTTAATGAAGATATTGAAAATAAGTGGAAGTGTGGCTTCCTTGAGGAACTCCAGATGTTACTGTGATACTATGACAACCTATCTTGACTCTTTGACTTCTGCCAGATGTAGAGTTTTTGATCCATTCAACAAACCTGCCATGAAAGTCTACATTAATTAATTTGCCAAAAAGTATTTGGTGATCTACACGATCAAATGACTTTGGAAAAATCTGTGTATATTGCATCTTCCTGTTTACAGTCTTCCATATGAGATAATATATCAGATTGATAGCAAACCAAATTTGTTTTGCTATGAAAACCATGTTGCGATTGGGATATTAAGCCTTTACATAACCAAGAAAGTTGCTTTGCTATAAGACTGTTGAAGAGCAATTACAGAATACTGGGGAAATATATGGATATGCATACATTCAACTTAGGGTGGGATTGATGAAGTGGAAAAAAGTGGCTGATATGTTGTATGTCACAAAGGGTTCAATGAAATACATTCTACAAAACTACAATAAGACCAGCTATGATGTATGGAACTGAACATTAGGCAATTAAAAACAAGGATGAACAATTAATGCATGTGGCAGAAATGAGAATGCTTAAATGGATGAGTGGAGTGACAAAAACTGATAAAATTAAGAATGTGTATATTAGAGTCAGTCTAGTAGTGGCATCAATTGATGCCAAAATGAGAGAGCATAGGTAATTTACTAGGTATCAACTCACTTACCTTATCACTGGGACAAATGCCATCATCACTGATAGAATCCAAAATTTCCATAAATTTCAACATTAATTTGTGAAGGAAAGTCCTTTCCCAGGTTAGTTTCTCTAATTGTTCAGGTTTATCTTTCCTCTGAATTGCTCTCCAGTATTTCTTCCATTTAGGATATTTTTTAAATTCATATTCCCTCCTTCCTGGTTGTAAAGAAATCCACATTGAAAGAGAAACTAGCCTTTTAACTTGATCTCTACATATTGCTTCTTCCATGCTATTAAAACAGTGATTTAGGAAGACCAGTAAAGCAGTCTGCTCCCTTATATTTATTAAAAGTTCGTCTTCAAAGCATGCCTTTAGGACTTGTTGGAAAAAGTCTGGAAAATATTCACTATTTTTGCTGAATGCCTAAAACAAATTGTTCTTATATCAAAACCACAAAATAAACATTACAAAACCATACATTGGAAACAAAATTGTATAATGGCAATTTGTTAAGACATGTTTGTTAAGAACATACTAACCATGTATGATAGCAGAAAAATCTACCACTAACACTTAGGCATAAATTTTTAAACCAAAAAAATACCACAGTGGAGTGTCCTGGGGTCTTTTCTCTTTTTGGTCTACATAAACGACCTTCCAAATGCGGTGGTTAGTAGTTCCTCAAACCTTGTAAATTTCGCTGATGACTCAAATGTGCTTTTCTGGGAAAAGAACTTTAGAAACACTCCTCACAGTGGCAGAGCAAAGTCTAAGCGGCTGAACAGTGGTTCAGTGGAAATCACTTGTTGCTTAATACTGATAAGACAGTTTTTGTCTACTTTAGAACCAAGTCACAAGAACAGTTTCCAGATACAATTAATTAAATTTAATACAGTTAAATTTCTTGGTATTCATATTGACCAGAATCTGAATTGGGGAAACAAATACAAAATACAACAAAAAAACTGAATAGAGCCTGCTACTCATTAAGAGTGTTAAAAAGCTATCTAAACCAGGGGCTTTTACTATCAGCCTATTATGCAAACTTTTATTCTGTTATGTGAAGTAATCTTCTGGGGTGCTGCAGTAGATAGCTCAACTGTCTTTATAGTCCAAAAAAAGGCAGTGCAGGTGATCTTAGGACTAAAGGCGGGAGAATCCTGTAGAGGCTGATTCAAATCAGTCAATATACTTACTTTCTCAGGCATCTATATTATATTTGAATGTATTATGTTCATTTTTTAAAAATGTTCTTTGTTTTATCACCTGCTTCCCAATCATGAATATAATACAAGAAGCCTTAATTTGAATTTGCCACTTCACATATTGTCTATAACAGAGAGAAGTCCTTTGTATGTGTGTGTTACATTTTATAATAGTCTACCATCTGACAGTCAACAGGAAACACACTATAGAGCTTTTAAAAGAAAGGTTTTTCAACAGCTAGTTGACATTGATCCCTACACTGTGGCGGAGTGCCTGGCCTATCCTTCTCCTTGATCAGCATATTTAATTTGTAATGTTGATATATTTTAAATGTGTGATGTCAATATATATATTTTTTTAATCTGTAATTAATAATGTGACGTTATTTGCTCAGTTATGTTTAAAAATGTATGCAAATAAAAATTTACTCTACTCTACTCTACTAAACAAATGTGAAAGGGGAAGAAAAAATCCCCACTGAGCAAACAACTTTTTAGTTCAATCAGTGAATTAGTTGTCTTAAGTCCCTTAATTTTTTGTAGCAATCAGGGATTCAAAAATTTTGATTTTAGCACAACTTTGCTTTCAAATGTGTAAGAAATTTTTTTGAAAAATATGTTTACAAAAATTTACAACCCTGCGTGGGTCCTAGCTTCCTCAATAATTTCTCTCCAGTGGTCCCTACCATCTTCTTTCTCTACCGAGCACATATTCCCATATGTTTCATGTCTTCATTGATGTTATTAAGGAACCTTGTTCTGGGTCTTCATCTTCTTCTATTACCAATGGGTCTATCAAGGAGCGTTTTTCTAGCTAGGCCTGTTTTACGATATCAGGTTCCTGATATATTCTATAAAGTTTTAAGTTGTATTGCCTTCTCCACGCTCCATTGTCATTCACTGCTCCATAAATTCACCTTAGTACTTTTCTTTTGAAACTACCTGTTTTCATTATTTTTTGGTAGAGTCCAGGTCTCTGAACCATATGTTAAAACTGGGTTTATTATTGTTTTGTTGAGTTTTATTTTTGTATTTCTCGATATATTTGTGGATTTAAGGAGATTGAGCAAAAAAAAGCATCTGTTTGCTATGCAAATTCTGCAGTTTATCTCTATGGTAGTATTATTTTCAGTGTTAAGGAGAGCCCCGAGGTATACAAATTCATTCACTGCTTCGATAACATTGTTTTCTATAACGAGTGGTCGTAGGATTTGTTGTTGCGTGCTTATTTTCATATACTTTGTTTTGTTGGTGTTTTATTATTAAACTCATTTTTGGAGCTGATTCTTTTAATGCTATGTATGCCTCTCATACAGTGTTTTCTATTCTCCCAACAATAATAATATAATCAGCATAGGCCAGGATTTGCACTGAGTTATTATATATTGAACCAGTTTTTGTGATTACTTTTTCCAGACATATGTATTACTTTTTCCAGGGACAGATTGAACAGTATACAGGAAAGAGGGTCTTCCTGGCACAGCCCATTATTTGTTTTAAAAGGTTCAGACAATTCCCCCTGAATTCATACTCTACATTAAACTTTTTCAAGATTTAGTTTTGTTAAATTTACCAACTGCCTTGGTATTCCTAGTTCTTTCATTGTTTTGAACATTTCTCTTCTATTCACACAGTCATAGGCTGCTTTGTAGTTTTCTCAGATGTAAAATTTTTTGCCTGACAAGATGATTGTGGCTGAACTTTGAAATTTTTTAAATGGAAATAAGAAATGAAAAAAATGTGACAATTTCAAACTGCTGTGCACAAAAAGGTATCTAATTAAAATGCATTAATAAATCTTTTTAATCACATCTTCTGATTGTGCAAATTTAATAACTCCACATATTTTTTCCTAGTTTCTTCCAAGTCAAAAAAATTGTGCAGATAAAGTTCTGATTTTTTAATAAATTTTACATAACAACATGTTTTCCACTATAGTGACACATTTCTTGTTATTTTACTTAAAAAGTAAATTATCTGAAATCAATGAAAATCTACCAGAATTTGACAAAAATAAATTCTTAAACTCAAAGTATATATAGTTTGAAAAAAATGAAAATTTAGAAGGATGAAACATAACACGGGCTAAAATAGTTAATATGATAATGTAGAAGAAATGGAAGTGCAATTAAAGGAATGGATAAGCAGAAAAATAAATACAATAAATGAAGGTCCAAACATAATATGGCATAGAAAACAAAGAGCATAGAGCATTTATAAATATTTTACTATCCTAAGACAGTTTAATAATAAATATAGTTTCATTACCTGCCATACTTGAACTCTTTCTCGAAATTTTTCATTCACCATTATAATAATTGATAGCATGTGTGAATAGGAGGCAGTTGGAGAATAATTGGGCCAAAGATAGTTTTCTAAATACTGGCTAAATTCTAAAACCATAATTCGTCGAATAGAGAAGCTAAAATAAAAAATATATCAAATATTTCAAGAAATGACATTAATGAAAACATACTTGCTTCCTCGTATATCTTGCATATAAATATCCTCAATAACATCTGGATCATATTTTAGATGATTTTCTATAGAATGAGGTGCCCAATACTTATCAGCAAGCTAAAAAGAATGATAATTTTACATTCATTTTCTCTATAGGTTATGTAAAAACAAACCTCTGTTATTCTATCAGCATTAATTTGTTGAACTGTTGGAGCAACACCAACATTTAAATCAGTTTTTCCGGTCATATTCTTTTTATATTAAACTGGATAAAACTGTTAATAAAGTACTAAAATTAAACTTTAAACTACGAACTACCGACGACAATTTAAATTCAACATGTTATTGACAATGACAATTGTTGTCAATTAATAATTAAGGTAAAGGGTAAACACATGTTTTGTGATAAAATCACAGAACACGACAGAGAACTTCGAACTATACTCGGTTCGCTAACCAAACTGTCTAGTGATTTTAGTAATTATATTTTTACGAAGTTAGTTAACAATTTGACAGACTAGAAGTGGCTGGAAATTACTATACAACCAAGCACACGTGGTCATAGCGCATTTCATTAGAGTATTTCGTCGACCTCTTTTGCAAACTTATACTATGACTAAGAAATGTATAGCATGTATAAAGAAAGTAAGTTTCTATTATATAGAAAAAATGTATTTTATAAAAAAGTTACGGTAATTTAGTTTATATCGTTAGGTTGCGCCAAATGTAGGCAACCAACTTAAACTTTTTGTTAGCATTTAGCTGGAGTTTCTTGAGAATATATTTAATAAACATATAATATTTTCTAGTTAATTTATTATTTTTTTAAAGTGATAATAATAATGCTGAATAAGCAATATTTCAAATAATATATAATCACAAGACGTACTTAATATTGTGTGATATAATCCTACTAAAATAATAGCATAATATTCATATTATAATTAAAAAATATCACTCATTAAAAATATAATCCAATATCATCAAAAATATCATAATATTCTATTATTCTTATCAGAAACTAGTTTTGGTCGACCCGGGATTTTACCTTTTTATCTAACGTACTTTATTATGCGGATTATATCCGCATAATAAAGTACGCATATATTGTGTTAATATATAATTAACACAATATTAAGTACGTTTTGTGATTAAATATCATTTAAAATATTGCTTATTTAGCATTATTATCATCACTTTTAAAAAATAATAAATTAACTGGAAAATATTAAACGTTTATTAAAAATATTCTCAAGAAATTCCAGCTAAATGCTAACAAGAAATTTAAGTTTAATTTAAATTATCTCACTTATGTAAACAATTAAAAATCAAACTAAATGAAAAAGTCAGAAATGTCAAACTCCGTGTGTTTACCGCTATTCGAATGGTGAATACCCACTCGAGCAGTCGTGTACGAAAATCGTCGTATACAATGCGTTCGAAATCAACTCGAAAATACGAATCATCGATTTTCGTTCGAAATTCATCATCTTTCGCATACGACTTCCGTTCGAACGGTTTCGAAAATACGGGCCCAGGGCCAATGACGTATGACATTATACGTCATTTCCCAGGGCCCAAGAGGAGTAAACCAAAAAGACAGATTCACACCCAAGAAAGTTACTAGAAAAGTCACCAAATACATCTTCTTTTTTGATTATCTCGACCTTGCGGTAATCGAGTAATCAATATCGGACAACCTTCCACGTCAATTCTAACCTAACTTTGTTAATTTATGTTTGAATTATAATTTTTTTTAATTCACTTCCAATAGATATTACAATTATTACAATAAAAAAAAGGACGTTTTTCACATTTATCAAAGTTTGGTTTTTCACATAAATTTGTCTTTTAATTTGCAAATAGATCTAATAAGTATGCAACAAAGATATGCAAATGCATATATAAAAAAGTTAGAGAAAGTTCAAAGATTTCTGAAATACTGTTCTTTTAAACTGCGTAGACCATATTTGTATTCTGATGTGATTAATTTCTTGAATATAGGTTTTTTTTCTTACCAGAAGAGTTAACTTTGACTTTGATCATTATTTTTAAGCTTAATAATCCAATCTCCTGAATCGCTTCAGGCAATTTGTTTTACATACTCCTTCCCGTTCACTGCTTTAAAATTCACTTTTTCATATTTCCCATCACAGAATAAATTATGGTTCAAATATAGGTGTGGTATTTTGGTAAGCAGTTACCTCATTAGATAGATTTGTTTAACTTATGTATCAATATCTTTAGGTTCTATTTGAAGCACTATAATGCAAAAAGATACTTTGTATAAATAAGTGTGTACTTCCAATTTTTTTAATGCTGGATTCTTGAGTTTGTAACATTTGTTATCAATAAATAAAATTGACTAAAATTCACAAATTCAATTTATTATGTTACATTCAAGCATAATTTTGCAGTTTTCTTGTGATTATCTACAACCAGGAAGAACAAAACCAACTGCATCAATGCAATCAAACTAAAACACATTACTTTACTAATGTTCTTTTATTGTGATGAAAACAAATGAAAATGCTTCTTAACAATACTTTAAACACTATTTAGTATAAATATCATCTAGAAAAATATCACATTAAATAATATTTACATATCACCAGTCTGCTTATATTCTTTAATTGTTTGGTTAATAGTTGAATTCGCAACACCTAAAATTAGAGCCCATTACTTTTGTAAGTTTTGATTTTAATAATACCTATTCTAACTAACCTGCTGCCTGTTTTACTTTTGCTACCGTGGCTGTTATTTTCAATACAGAATTATCAATTTTTATTTTTTATACATGTTTATAAAACATTGTTTCTTATTTGTTGATAAATGACCCAAATCTACTCGGCGTTTTTAAGGTGGAGAACAATAATTACTAGTACTTGGCATTGAATCCATATTGTTATCTTAATAACACTAAATAGTTCTGAAAAGAACTGTTCTTTATATAAATGCAAACGAAAAATCTATGAATGTAAGGAATAACGCAGAAAATACAAAAAATTGTCGATATAAATTTTGAATTTTAAAATTTTACAAATGTCATTAGTGTCAATATGTCATAATTTAGTGGAGAAAACTTGCCTGCGGTTGGACCAATTACAAACAAGAATTACGGCGCGGAAAATTTGAATTACTCCTCCTGGTTAAAAAACAGACCATAGACAGTTCGGACTGGGAATAGCGAACCGGGTATACAATATAAACCGGTCGCAAATTTGACAACTTCAAAGTTTTCCCGAAGTGGATGCTTTTGAAATCTACCACCAGGCGTCGCCCACAATTATTTTGACAGTTCTGGAAAATATCAATTTTTATTCTAACCTAAAATTTGACTTAGTTCTTAAGTGGTTCTTAATAAATATTGATAATAGCAGGGTGGTGGTGGTGAAATGGGCGATGGGCAATAACTCTTATTTATACTTTTTATTTTTATTATGGTTAAGTTATTTAATAGTTTCGTCAGTATTACTCTTCACTCGAGGGTTCTTGTTAACGAGAACTGTTCAACGAAAGAATTCAACATGCCTATCACATAGAGAAATACCCTGTGGGGAAAATTCGGCATTTCAAATACATTATGAAGACCAAGAGCAATGTTCAGTTGAAGACAAAATCAGTTCATTTATTACAAAATACCATAGTGCCTCTTCTGTGTGTTTACCATCTCGAACTCGCGTGGTGTTACTAATCGTAGATGCCTTACGGTACGATTTTACCGTTTATAATAAGAAATATGAAAATCCACTGCCTTTTCAAAATAAGCTACCTGTTATTCATAATCTTCTTGAAGAACACCCGGAACGCACAAGGCTGTACAAGTTTATTGCTGATCCACCAACAACTACTATGCAAAGATTGAAAGCTCTAACAACAGGAAGCCTTCCAACTTTTATTGATGCGGGTTCGAATTTTGCAACTTCAGAGATAAATGAGGACAACATTATAGATCAAGTAAATATTAAAGTTCTGTATTTTTATTTGTTAAGTCTAATATGTGTTTAAACACAAATTTATATATTTTTTTGGTATGATAGATTCTCCTGTTATTTTGATAGATTCTCCTGTTATTTTGATAAATTCTCCTGTTATATACAACATTTTAATGCAAAAGAAATGTTAATTTTTGCACTTATTCCTGGAAGGGCTAATTGGACAAGACATACTTTTCTTACCAAACCTTGTTTTATTAATTCAATAACTGCTAGTAGATACACTTAGTGGCTGCTTCAGAATTACCTTTGAGATAATCACATTATACACCAATGGAATTGCTTGGATTAAGCCTAGTTTTTAGATCATTGTGGATGTTAGGAATCTGACAGTTAGATATTTTAATGTTCCCAAAGAGGGTCAATCACTACTTATAGTTTAACAGTTTTATTTTAATAGTAATATTTTACTTTAGTAATAAAAAGTATTACTTATAATATACTCCATTTGCTTAGCTTAGGCATATTTTGACAGATTCATTGTTGGAAACATACAACACAACAATTCCTACTTCTCAATATTAATAGCTGAAGTATACTACTATTGCAGACTACCTTTCTTTGAAAAAAGAAGAATTATTCTAAATAGTGGAAGTGTATACTAAACCCATCAAATTTTGGGTAGTATATATTTAAAAAATATATTGTAGTTGTTATAATTTAACATAACTATTTATTATATGGTGCAAATCATGGACGTATAAACATAGATGGACACAGCAATAAGATACCTTTAACACACAATGTTTTCAAGCTTCAATAGAATGTGATGCTTCCGCAATGAGCATAAGCATGCTTGAATTATTACTCGCGGGTAATTATTCAGATTTTAAAAATTGGAAGTAGTAATAATGTATAAAAACATGTTCAAAGAATTAAAAAAAAACGAGAGTTTAACTATTAACAAATTACGTCTTTATAGAAACATTAAAATACAATTTTATTTGCTTTAAAATTAATACAATTAAATATAGTTGAATTAAAGTTAATTTTTTAATAGGTATCAAAATATTGCTACAATAAAAAATCTTTATGTTTTCTCCTAAATTTGCTACCCAAATAGTTTGATCGTCAATATTATTTGGAAACCTACATAGAAAAATAAATGAGTTTTATTCATTTCACTAATTTATTTGTATCCATGAGAAATATTAAATTAAAAAGGTACTAAACAGATCTTTTTGAATCAGATGATGTCGTACTTACAATTTAAAAATGTCTACTAATTTCATGAACTCATATCTTATTCAATACATTAATGATCATGAATAAACCCAATGGTACACCTATTAAAATGTAAACAAACACGCTTCCCCATTTCCTCATCTTACATAATGTAAATTGTATGTACTTACAAATGAAATGAGAGATCGGGATGTAAATATTTCATTTATTTTATTTCACTTTTCACAAATATCACTCAAAATACAGCCAAAATATCGAAAAATAACTTCTCCTCATTTACTGTAAAAAGTAAACAAACATGGAACAGCATTTGAAGTTTGACGTAGATCCATAAGACAGAGAAATGTAAACAACTGTTGCCATTTATAAATAGTTTTCAGTGCTTCTACATATAAAATAATTGATTGATATGTATTATATGCTATTATTAAATTTATTTAAATTATTAAATGATAATGCACACTATGTGCACACTTGATATTTTGATTACAATTAAATATATTAATCTAACCAATAAATTATTATTTTGGTTTAATAGCACCTGTAGAGTATAAAATACGGATTAATATTTTCAGCGACTCGCAAATAAGGAATTTTAAAATAAAATGTGATAACAGTTGAAGGTGCTGAGAATGTGACCTATTCAAATAATTTTGACTACACAATTTTATGTAAATAACTGAGTCCATCTGTGTTTATATGTCCATGGTGCAAATAAATAAATATTGATTGTCGGTAATTCGCAAAGTTCAAATTTTATTTACTATTTAGTTTGTTTACTATTAATATTGGCTATGAGTATGTGTGCTTGGTTGTATAGTAATTTCCAGCCACTTTTAGTCTGTCAAAAAGTAACTAACTTCGAAAAAAAAAAATTACTAAATTCACTAGATAGTTCGGATTGGGAATAGCGAACCGAGTATAACAGTAATACTGTATTACTTCAACAGTAATACTATATTAGGTACTTTAACAGTAATATTTTAGCAGTTTATATCTAAAGCAAATTTGTTTAAAATAGTTTTAAATTGATTTATTTAAGTCATTCTCAGCCTTATATTTACCCCTATGTGGGTAAATCTCTCTTCTTCAATAATTAGATCACACTAGAAGTTTCTTTCTTGGGTCATTGTAATACCAATTCCCTCCACAGGCATATCATGTCTAATGTTTCTTGTCTAATGTAAAGTGGAAATGTCTAATGTAAACTGGAAACATGAAAATAAATACAAAACTAAAAGTGTGATTAATTCCCAAAAAAATAGTAAATGAAATTGTACCCTCAGAAAATTGCAAAATTGAGCACAATGTACATCTCAGATCCAATATAATTCATTCAAAACCAAAATAAACTTGAGTTCACACCCATCAAAGGGTGTGTCATGATGTTACAGCTTCTTATTGATTAAAAATTCATAAGCTGTGGTATCAAGATATACCCATCAATGGGTGTGAACTCAAGCTTATCTTGGTTTTGAATGAAGCATAGTAGCTTTCACAAAAAGTGAACAAGTAACTGGTATATATTCACTGAAATAATCTACTTGTTAACAATACAACAAACAAAAATACAAGTTAAATATGACTGATAGATCTTAACATACTTTAACCTTTAATTGTGGCTTATTCCCATTTAAATAGTAAATTTTACTTTACTTTAGTACTTTAAAATGCCACAAGAAAATAGCTTTAGAACAATATTATCAGATTTGACTTTAGTTCTGTATGTTATTATAATTTACATAATATGATAATAATAGTTTAAAATACATAAAATATTTGTTTCTTAACTAATTGTAGCTACTAAGACACAATCATGGAGTTGTTTTCATGGGTGATGATACTTGGAATGGTTTGTATCCCCACAGATTTACCAGGAATTTTCCTTATCCTTCATTCAATGTTTGGGACTTAGATACTGTAGATAATGGTGTGAAAGAAAATTTGTATCCCGAACTTGATAATAATGATTGGAGTTTACTTATTGGTCACTTTCTGGGTGTAGATCATTGTGGACATAGATATGGACCAAATCACCCTGAGATGGAGAGAAAATTAGGAGAAATAGATGATGTAATTAGGTAAGTAATCAAATCTGCCGTTTAGTGATATACCCAAACAACAAAATATACCCTTTGTTGGGAGTTTATCTTTATTGAACAGCCAGAAATTGACAGATTTGTAGTTTACTATTTTATTTGCATAAAAGCAACTCAAATTCCTACAATATATAAAATTAACAATATAAAAAAAAAACTAATTAATTCCCATTACTTACTCTTGCTGTCTGTTAAATTATTAAATTATTTAAATTTTTCCCTAATAGGTGACAGTTTGTTTTCTGATGTTTTGGTATTATATTTGACATTTTCTAAGATCAGTAGCAACGAGAAATTTTGGAAAACATGATAGAACTAAAAATTAACTAAATACATTGTATACAAATAATAAATATTTGTAACACTCCTACCCGGTACAGTTCAATGCGAAAGATAGACTGTACCACTTATTTTTCATCATCTTTTTGGTCTCCGTTTATTGGTATTACTGCTAATTTTATAACAGGACATTCATATATTCCATTTTTTGTTTAAACTATTGCTTGTCGCACTTGCCCATCAGGTGATTCTTTAACTTCAATTACCTTCCCTTTGGCTAATTGCATCTCAGTAAATCTTTATCACATTTAATTACAATATCGCCCTCTGTAATTGGTACAACTTTTTATGCCATTTTGCCCTAAGTAGTAGTTCAGGTATGTATTCAGAAATAAAGCATCGCCAACATTTATTTGCAAATTGCTTCCTGTATAAATAATTAAATTTAAATACTTTAACATCTTCATTTAAAAATCCAATTGGTTTATTTCCGTTTGAAGATCCAATTAAAAAATGATTTGGAGTTAGAGATTCAGATTCTTCAGATTCTATTGGAAGATAAGTAAGTGGTCTTGAATTTACTATGTTTTCTACAGCTATGAGATAACTATAAAGTAATTGGTCAGTAGGGTTCCTGGTTGGTAATGAATCATAAGGAAATTTTAACAGCTTTCACTAGGTGCTCCCAGGCCTTACAAATATGTGGGGAAAGGGGTGTGTTGAAGTTAAATTTTAGCTCTGGGCTAATCAGTGAATTGGCTATTAATTTACTGTTAACCTTTTGCAGTTTTTCTCTCAATACTCGTTCAGCTGCAATAAAATTCGTACCTTGATCACAATAAATATGCCTTGGTCGTCCTATTCTGTTAATAAAATTTGTCAAGCATAGTATAAAACTGTCCACATCTAGTTTGTAAGCTACTTCGAGATGGACTGCTCTAGTCGTAAGACACGTAAATAAAGCTCCCCATCTTTTCTCTGTCTCGTCTTCCAACAGTAATATTTATTGAACCAAAATAATCTATACCAGTGTGTGTAAACGGAGCAGTAAATGTTGTAAGTCTACATGGTGGTAGAGGTGACATTTCTGGTGGTTTTGACTTAGCAAATTTGACCTGGCCATTTTTTACAATTGGTCCTAATCTTATTAACTAGTTGTCTAAGTTTTGGTATATAAAATTTTTGTCTTATCTCATTTACTACAATTTCATGATTTCTATGGAGATATCTTTTGTGATAGTCTTCAACAACTAGCAAAGTTAAACGACTTCCTCTCGGTAAAATTATTGGCCTTTTTGTTTCTGAAGTAACATCTCTAGCTTCATCTAATCTTCCTCTTATACGAAGTAAACCATCTTCATCCAGATATGGCGATAATTTAAATAAACTACTTGATTTATTAACTGTTTTCTGTAAAGTACCAGAATTATTTGTTTTTAATTGTTTTATTTCATTTTTGAAATATTCACATTGAGTTTGCTTTATTAACATATTCCTAGCATCTAAAAGTTCTTTTGCAGTTAATATTCCTTTAGGCTCTTCAGATTTCATCAATTTTGCATAAATAATTCTTAAAAATCGAAACACTTACGCAGTTGCTCTTAAAATTCTATTAAATTGACTGAATCTTTTAAAATCAATTAAAAGTGGACTATTAAATTTTACTTCATGAGTGGTTAAGATTTCATCAGCCTTTTCCTTTTTAAGGGTGGTGTCTGGAGGCCAACTGTTTTCTAATTGATACAGCAAATCAGGACCTTTTTCAAATTGGGACTTTTTGTCCATTTGGTAGCTTCGTCGGCTATGTTATTCTTAGTAGGTACATATCTCCAATGTGATACCATTGAGTTATGTTGAATTTATTGAGGAATTTATCTTTATTGAGCAGCCAGCAATTGACGGATTTGTAGTTTACTGTTTTTATTTGCGTAAAAACAACTCAAATTCCTACAATATATAAAATTAACAATATAAAAAAAAACTAATTAATTCCCATTACTTACTGTTCTCTTGCTGTCTGTTAAATTATTAAATTATTTAAATTTTTCCCTTCTTCTTCGTTTGTTTTTGGGTTTCGATTATATAATCATTTACCCAGTACATGTGAGGTTATGCTCATCTTGCTCTAGGCAATACACAACCAGGGATAAATTTCTACTTCTGTTTACTAAATTGACAACTGGGTGATATTGAAAGATCAGCTTTTCCATTTGTTTATCTTCTTCATTTAAGGTTACTGTTTACTGTTAATTGACAACTGGGTGATACTGAAAGATCAGCTTTTCCATTTGTTTATCTTCTTCATTTAAGGTTAGATTAGACTTTTCTCGTTTGGGGGTAGCTTCTAAACATTGTCACATTAGGTTTATAGGTAATGCTACCTTCGGTTAGGATTGAGGATTTTAAGGACATACATTTCTGTATGTTAGGATATTTCCAGTATTTTCTAGATATATTTTATTATTTTGACAAGTAAAAAAAATTATAGACGATTTGAAAAAATTTGATGAATTTAATAATTATTTTTATAACTTTGTCAGAGGGTTTATATAGAATACTATGTAAAGATATTGGACTCTCTATTCGTGCTTTTATTAATTCTAAATATAGATCCATATTTTTGTGTTTGTTTATGGGACATTCAAAGAAGATATGGATCACTGTTCCAATGGTTCCGCATTCACATATCGGAATTTCTGTTTTATCTATTTTGTAGAGATTGCAAGGAGTTTTGCAATATCCACTATGTAAACGATTAATATTTGTTATAGTATTTCTGACCATATACATATATTTGACATACCATGGTTTTATGGGGAAATCACACTGCAATCTGCAATAGTTTGGATCTTTATCTTTAATTTGGGAATACCATTCATTGTAGAATTGGGTTAAAATGTCTTTTTTTGTAACGCAAAAGATATCTGTACTAACATTTTTTATATCATATGGTACTCTTAATTCTCTCCCAATATTCGCCAGCCCATCAGCTACCTCATTACCTTTAATCCCCTGGTGTCCAGGTACCCATTCTATTCATATTGAGAATCCCATATTATTAGCTTCTACCAATAGTTTTTTGGTCATTATGGTAACGTAATCCATTTGATCCCATTTGAGACTGGAAATTTTGGATAAAGCACTTCTTGAATCCACAAAGATAACTGCTTTCATGATCCCCTTCTCAATGCACACAGAGATAGCTTTATATATAGCTATCATTTCAGTGTACAGATTTGTGTGTAATTTTGGAGCTTTGCTGAAAATTTGTAATTAATCTGTGGTATATAAATTCCAAATGTTTGTGGGTCGATAGATCCATCTGTATATACATAGGTATGATTACTATATTCCACCATATTTTGCTAAAAACATTTCATTAGATTCAATTTCATATTTTTCATATTCTAGGCTCTTAATTGTAATAGGATATAAAAGAATTTTTCTTTCTACTTCATATATGGGATTAATCTTGTATCGGATTATATTTTTTGATTTTTTGAGTATGTCTGTATATGCTAATGAGTAGTCTGGTATAGCTTTATTCTTCCAAAATTGGTTATTTGCATTTATAGCTTCATTTAACTTGTTTAAACTTCTTATTACTATGTTATTTTTTTCAGACATTTGTTTCAATATATACTTATGAGCCAATATTTCGCTTCTAACTTTTAGTGCGGATACTGAACATTCCGCTTGTAATATTAAAATTGGTGTAGAACGTAGACAACCTGTTATAATCCTTAAGACCACATTTTGTACTTGTTCCAACTTCATCATCAGACTTTTACTGCAAGGATTTAAAAGATTGGCTGCATATTATAAATGAGATCTTACTATCCCTTTGTATAAGCTTAAAAGAATATTTGGGTCAGCTCCTCATTTTGTACCACAAATTGCCCTCATAACATTAATTCCTTTGTTTGCTTTAGCTATCATATCATTTATTTTAATTGCCATATTCAAGTTACACTGTAGATGGAACCACAGATATTTTATTTCATTTTTCCATGGGATTTCCATGTTTTGGTACATAAGGTGGGGGAAATTATAAGCTTGAGCTCTTTTTCTAAATATTATTGCTTTTGATTTATGTGCTTAGATTTTAAAATTGTGTGTTTCAAACCAGTCCTGTAATTTTTGTAAGAAGTATTTAAGCAATTCATTGATTTATATATATATCTGACCCTTGTACCAGAATTACAAAATCATCTGCATATTGGAAGCACTCCATTTCAGGTTTGATTAAATCAAAGTAAAGACTTTGAGTACAAATTAAACAATATTGGACTGAGAGGTGACCCTTGTGGCAATCCAGTTGATGCTTGGATTGGGCCTAGTATATTGTTTGATTTATCTTTAACATAAATATTTCTATTGAGCAAGAATTGCATGATTAGGTTTGTATAGGTTGTTGGAATACCATACTTTATTAGATATTTATATAGCAAAAACGTATTGATAGTATCATATGCCCTACTAATATCCAAAAAAAATTGCGATTGTATTTAAATTTTTACTAAATCCTGTTCTAATATAATTTATTGTTAAAGCTAAATTATCGTTATATTCTTTATTTCTTCTAAATCCTAACTGTTTTGGATTCAATATACAATTTTTTTCAATTATTTATGACACATTTATTATCACACATGACTCTAGGGCAATATTTCTATAGTTGTCTGCACATAATGGATCTTTAT